TCTCATATTATCTTCATTTATTTGTGTGTATGGGTGGGTGTATATACATATATAATATTTGTAAATCGCTTTCTATATTTAAAATATATTGTTTCATTATTTTTTATTACTTATCCTTTCTTCTCTATTGTTTTTTCTTAATCATTTATGCATATATCTTTCTATCATTATATATCCTTTTTTAACCCATTTGTCTTCCTCTCCCCCTTTATATATGTTAGAAATAATTTTGAGTCAAAACACAAAAAGGACTATTTATTAGCATTATTATCTTGGTACTTAATTTTTGGTTTACCTTTAATTCACTTCTCAAAAATTTTTGTTGAGACTCTATCTCTCAATTTCTCTTGCTCACATTTTATATTATTATATTTAATGCTCTACCATACATATTATCCTTTCTTTTATTATACTCTCATCTTTATCCTTCCTTCTTAGACATTCCATGTATCTCAATCTATCATTCTATATCTTATTTTTTATCACTTTTTTTTCCCTATTACATGTTTTATTAGAAAAGTTTTAACTCATATCATAAAACATGCAACTCCTTAGTATTATTTTCTTAATACTTTTTTATTTGCCTTTACTCATCTTAGAAAAACATGGAGTTGAGTAAGATTTATTATGACTTTTTAGATGGAAAAAACAATTATTTTTAAAAAATAAGATAAAAAGTAAATAAATCTCAACCATTCACAGTAAGGAGATAAATAGTTAAGATTGTGTATACGCGATGTTTATAAGTAGATCCTAACTCTTCTTTCATCTCTTTTGTCTTTCCTTCTATATTATTTTTTATTAGTCACTCCTTCCACCTCCATCTATCATTATACCTTCGTTTTATCCTAATTTCTTTCTTCTATTGTCTATGTTATAAATGTTTTTGGTCAAAACATTATTAAGTCTCAATCTCTCATCTTCTTACTCAACATTTTATCTAAGTAGAATGCTAAAATCCACCCCCAAAGATAGGCAATCGAGACAGATCCACCCACAAAATTTTTAACTAGAGCAAATCACTTTTAAGTTTAATGTGTGACATCAATGATCCATTAACAATAAACTCATAAGTGACATAATAAGTTAGCAAATTGTTGGCATCATTTGACATCACATGTTAAATGTGGGGTGATTCGTTCTAAGTTAGAAACTTTCTAAATAGATTTGTCCCCATTTTTTATTCAAACATGAATCCGTCCTAATTGCCTAACTTTGGGGGTGAATTCAAGTATTCTACCTTTTCTCTATATATATTTATACCCTATATTTACCTCTATAAATTAGTATTTTTTTTAATTATTCTTTCTTCCCTTATCATCCTCTCTCTACTGTTCTTCCTTAGTCATTACAAGTATCATTATCTACCATTATTTATCTCTTTGTTCCCATCCCAATTTTCTCAATCTCACTGACTGTAGCAGAAACTTTTAAAATTAAAACATAAAAGATAGAAATAATTACTATTGTTCTTTGGTACCTTTTCACTTACATTTACTTTACCTCTCATTAGTTTTTTCTTGTAACTCTATCTGTTAATTCCCTCATCGTAATTTATCTTTATATTTTACGCTTGTCATCTTGTTCCCTCTATATTAGTAATTCCTTCTCTTTATTACTATTTTATTTATTTTTATTTTTTCTCCAATTATCATTACATTTTTATTATTATTTCCTAATCATTCCCCTTCCCTTGCATCCCAATGCATCATTATTTATATCTTTTACCTCAATTTTTTTTCTCTCCACTTATATATATTAGAAATGTTTTATATCAAAACATAAAAGACGTAGCTTCTTAGCATTATTATCACAATACATTTTCTCCTTATATTTTATAATTATATATATCATTTTACCTTATACTTGCATTCACTTTCTCTCTCCGTATTAGTAATTTATATATATTATCCTTTTATCTTATGTATCTTTCAATCTATATATTTTATTAATACAATCTTTCCTTTTACGTTATTCATTTTTAGTCACTAATAGTATATCTATTTATCATTTTATATCTCTTTTTGCCCTAATTTCCTTTTATCTCCCACTGTATATATTAGAAATATTTTAGGCCAAAATATAAGTGGCCGGACTTTTTAATATTATTTTCTAATTCTTTTTCACTTACCTTTATGCAACAAAGACTGAAGTATTCCTAGTACTCCTTTACTCTTCCATAAGTTGCCTTTAATAGATATTTTTTTAAAAAGACTATTATGTATTTATTAAAAATTTTTACTGAAATTTTTTAAAAGTCCAATAGATATTTATTTAAGAATTTTATGAAGAATTTTGTTATTCCAACAGTTTATATATGGTCAAGATAAGATATAAGCAAATAATGTATACAAAATCTAAATGTTTGAATCCAGAGAGACAGAATACCTGAACTGGTTGATGATACAGTGTGGGAATGGGATTGCCGTTGTTGATGCATTTCAGCCAATTTGTTCCTAGTATCTTTGGCAGAACTGATATCCTTTATAAAAGCAAAAACACATGGTGAACATGTAATGTGAATTGCATGTAGAGCTGCAGCATTCTTTTTCGTCTGATCAACCTCGTCTAAAGAGGGAAGGGCATCACTACCCTTTTCGACCACGTCCCAAAGATCTTGAGTCAACTTTCACTGAAAGTTTTTAAGGAAAAATGTCCAATGTTCATACTTTTAAAGTTCGAGAAGAAATGGAACAATTGCATTAGAAGCACCATATGTTGCCTCTTCAAATCTATATCAAACCATCACCAAGGAAAAAAAAAAAAAAGCACCTAAATCAGCTTCTCTGCTCTTATTTAGCAATCATAATTCATAAATAATATTCAAGCAATCTTAATATTTACTAGAATTACTACACTTTGTCAATTCATGAAGTATCGAATATTGGAAGAGATTGGGGAAGAAAAGAATAAGGAATAATCAAGATGTATGCTACCAAATCTTAACAGTCATATGATACCAAATAAAAATGAAAATAAATATCAGTTCATGCGCTAGAAAAATCATCTGATGTATGATTATAAAGCCGCCAGGACAAATAACCATCAATTGAATAAAAAAAAAAAAGAAAAAAGCTAAGTATGGTACGCAACAAGATTACGAGGGGAATAAAGGAAGAGATTGTGGGAAGAAAAGAACAAGGAATAATCTATTCTTTTAAAGTCTTGAAGACCAAAAAGAGAAGATTATTGAATAGTAATTGATACACACTTTAATTTAATACATTTACTAAAGCAACAACTACTTTTTGGTGTGAAATTAAAAGTAAACAAACTTAAAAATATAGTTATGCATAAATAATGTAGAAATTACTCAATTGATTGTATTTATATTATATTTTAATTGATGAATCAAGACGAGGATAAAAAGTGTGTTGAACTTAATGTATGCCAATCATTTTCCTATTATTATTATTATTATTATTATTATTATTATTATTA